ACTTGATTTGTCGATTGTACAATTGCATATTGAAATCCTTGCGTATTGCATATTGAAATCCTTGCGTATTTCATGCATGATTGCACATGAGTGTTCGTAATCGACTGGCCACTAGAGCCCGTCGGGTAGGACCCGGACCCGGACCCGCTCGGGTCCGGGTCCGGGTCCGGGTCTGAAGATTTTTTATAATCGGGTCCGGGTTCGGGTCTGAAAATTTTTTATATTCGGGTCCGGTTCCGGGTCTGGAAGTTTGTTATAACCGGATCCGGGTTCAAAAAAGTGATTTCATACAAATAATGACTTTTTTAAAATATGTTTTGAGTTGTCGTTCATTTTATTCAAAAAGTAATTATAAATTAACTTATAAAAAATAGAAAAAAAAACAATAGAACTTGTTGAACACAATATCTAAATCTCTTAATCATTATAAATATATAAAGCAAACAATGTTTCATTTCATTCAATGATATTGTTGATAATATCTTAGTTATCATCAGATGAAAAATCACAACTATCAGTTTTCTTAATTTTTTTTATTGATGTTGTTGAAGTTGAATCTTCTCTGTTTTTGAAGACTAACATCTGTTCATCATCAACTGTTGATAATCTTCTTTTCGACTGTTCTTGTTTTTGCATCTGTATTTTTTCATTTATTTGTGCTAAGGAAAAGAGATTCTTTTGAAGGAACAACAATTTATTAACTTTTTCAGCGGCTAGACTGGTTCTTCTATCAGTAACAGTATTTTTCGATGAAGAAAATAACCTCTCTACACTTGTATTAGAAGCAGGTATAGAGAATATATCACGTACAATTGATGATAGTACTGGAAATTTTTTAGCATTTTCTCTCCAGAAAAAAAGCACATCGTCTGTTTCATGAAGTTGTGTTTCTAATAACATATAATCATCTAATTCATTTGCTAGTTTAACAACAGGTTGAGTTTGATCAAAACAACGACCTAACAAATCATTCGAAGGAACAGCTGTTGATGTATTAAATGTGCTTGATGTAGTTGATGTTCCTGTTTGTGAATCAGTAGCAGCAACAACTACTGGTATTGATGTACGTTTCAACAACTGTTGTTTGACTAATTTAATTGCTTTATTTTTTTCATGTGGTGCTATATGAAAGTGTTTCAATGAAGGATGAAGTAAGGTGGACATATAATGTTGATCTTGAGGAATCCATATTGATTTTATACGTTCACCTTAAAAAAATAGCAATATCAATATTTGAATCGAAATCTCTTCCACAAGATCGACGTTTATGATCAAAAAATATAAACTAAACTTTTTTGCAAAATAAATTTTTTGATATCAACAACTCTAAGATTTATCAAGATTTTTTCAAAACAAAAACTTAGCTTGAAGCTAACTATCTAGTCAATATTTCTTAATATTTGCTTACCAAGAAAATGTTTCACTTCTTTAAGTCCATCACTATCATCATATTTAATTCCACAATGATTAATTAATAACTGTCGAATCGGAATAACTTGATGTATAGTTGGTTTATCTTCATCACTTAATTGAATAATAGCTTGATCGAAAAGTTTCAGAAAACCACATAATTCTTCTAATAAATCTTTATCAATAGCACCTAAAGAATCGATTAGATTTTTATTTATAACACCAGCTAATTCATCATAAACATAAAAAAAAAACTTCTAACATATAAAATGCACCATTAAAGCGTGTATCCGAATATAACTGTAATTTTCTTTCTAGCTTTATTTGTCGATGTGATCGACGTACATGTGTAACAATTCGTTTTGCATTACCAAAAAGATTTTGTGCTTTATCACATTTAACAGGTTGTTTATCAATTTCAAGTGATGTGAATGAGTGTTCTAATTGTTTGTTTACAAAGTGAATAGAACATCCTACACGAATACATCGTTCTTTAAATGCAGCTCGCATTTTGTTCTCGTTGTCTGTGACAACAAAAATGTTACTATTTAAAACCAATCCAAATGATAATAATTGTGAATCAACGAATGCACGAATATTGCTAGCTGACTGCGATTCTGAATCAAATAAAAAGCATCCAAGAATAAAGTTTAATAATTTGAAATCTTTTGTAACATGGCGTAATGCCAAACCACAATAAGAAAGGCCTAAAAAAATGTCATAATAAATAATTAAAACAAAATAAAATAAAATACTTAATGCTTTGAAAAAAAATTAAAAACCCTTAAAAATTAATAAGAAACAATGACTTAAAAAACCGTATGTTTTTTTTTCTCCTCAAGCTAATTATTGTTAAACAAATTTTAGATAAAGTCAATAATCTATCTAAAAACTAATATTGATAAAGTCAATGATCTATCTAAAAACTAATATTGAAAAATTCAATCAATTCTCATTGAAAGCTGAGGGCAATGCATGTTCATAATTATCAAAAATAGTGTTTTAGGTTTAAAGACAATAATTTGAAATAATATTTTAAGCAAATCTTCGTATATTGGAACAAATTCCATCGATAATAAAAGATTGATTATGTTCATTAAGAACAATCAATGAAAAAAAATTGCATTTCTAATCACACTTGTCTCAAAATCTTGAAATCTTATCTATATAGAATTAAAAGACTTGCATTTGCATTAATTTTCTTCCGAAATGATTAGTGATAATCAGATTCTTCGTATTTCTTTTGTCGTACAGAAGACTTAAAACGACGACTCACCAGTAAATTTTTCTGTCCAAAAATCACATATAATACAATAACTTGTCATACTGGAACATAAGTTTAATAAATCAACTTTCTTCTCTTCATATAAACGATCTATATTGCGGCTAATCTAACACAAAAAATATAAACAAAAAATAAAAATTGATTCACATAACAAGAAATTAGTTTCCTTACTGTAATTGGTGATGGAATTAACTCTTTAACATTGATGTTCGATAAATGACTAAAATATCGCCCAGCATCAAATATACTTTGTGCCATTTTTAAAAATCCTTCACCTGTAACTAATTCAAAAGCTCGGCAATCTAATGCTGTAAATTCAGTACAAGCCAATTTGATTTTATCTTTAATTCCTTTTGGTACATTAGAACTTTTAGACGATGTGAAATATTGTGTAACTGATAATTGACCATCTGAACAGCTACTTGAACTTGTTAAACTAGCATGACATGAACGTTTATGTTTTGCCATAGACGTTGTACCATCACGTTGACGATAAACTAACAACTCTTTGCAGTGATCACAACAAACAAATCCTTGTTCAATATCATTTACAACAATAATACAAAAATGTTCCCATACTGGAGATGATTTTGAAGATTTCTTCGGTTTACGAAAAACAATTGACTTATCACGTTGTTTTATTAATCTTAAAATGTCGTTCTTTGTAAGTGATTGATTCATAATGTTTTAATTTGCTTTTTATAAATATGAACCAGTAACAGTATAACAAGTATAATTGTTAATCTTATGGCTATTAAACAAACGAAATAATATAATGTTCTTCTTAGTTTCTTTTATATGAAATATAAATCCATAATAACAAAATAAAAATAACAATTTGTTGAAAACCTGCTAAAGAAAAAAAAATAATATCATCTTTCAATTTGTTTTTATAAATATAAACTGGTAATAATAAAGCAAGTATTACTATTAATTGTATACCTGTTAGAGAAAACAAAATAATATGATGTTGATTTTAATTTGTTTTTATAAATACGAACTGGTAACAATAGAACAAATACAACTATTGATTGTATACCTGTTAAAGAAAAAGAATAATCTGATATTGTCGTAATTTGTTTTATCTCAATATCAATTCATAACAATAAAATAAAAACAGTAATAATCGTATACCTGTTACAGAAAACAAAATAATGTAATGCTGTTTTAATGTTTTTTTTATAAATATGAATTACTAAAATTAAAACAAGTATTACTGTTAACCGATAAGTCGTTAAACAAAACAAATAATATAATGTTGTCTTAATGTGTTCAATATAAATATGAATGCATAACAACAAAATAAAAACAAGTATTGATTGTATGTTTGTTTAAAAAAATAAATAATATAATTTTGTTTTAATTTGTTTTTATAAATACGAACTGGTAACAATAAGGCAACTATATCTATTAATCGTATAGCTGTTAAACAAAAGAAATAAGGTAAACTTGTGTGAATCTAAATCTTTATCTTGGCATCTAAAGTTATTGGTCAAGAGTTAGAGCCAATTACAACTTGATTATAAATTATGATGAATATAGCCTGACAAACATATAGAGCGCAGTAGTGATCGATATAATTGAAAAAAAGATCGTGTATTTATGACGCACTATCAGATTCTGATGAGAATAATTCATTGAAAATGTCCAGAATGCCG